GCACCGTGACTTGAATTGGTCCAATGCCCTGTATTCCTCAGGGTTTGACGCTTTTCTGTTGAAGCTGCTCTCAGTGAATAGTGTGGGCATTCCATCCGACGCCATGTCCTCCTCTAGTTCAACGCTTCTGCCTGAGTGCCACGCTAGGGCTTCACTGAGTCAGACTGGTATGGCCCTATGGGTCCGACGCCTCTCCTTAGGGCCTGACACCTGCTGAACCTTCTCCTTCCTTTTTTCTTCATGATCTTTGTGTATGGCTTGGTTCCATCCTTGGTGTCTTGGACTATGCTTATCTTTTAGGTCTTCAACAAATTTTGTAATGTTTCGCTTGAGGTGTTGATCCTCGGGATCACCACGTCACCTTCGTCCAATTCACGTTTGCATCCTATTAAACTACAAAACAAACACTTGCAAAAATAATTAGTCCAACTTGGTCATATTGATGATCAAACACTAAAATCTAAACTAAATGGACCAAGGGTCCATTTTCCTTACACACGAGATATATCTCTGGATAGGACATGGATATCCATAGATGAGTAGCATTTAGGTTTGCGGACAACATGGACAAGGGTAACCACGAAAAAAGTATATTCCTGAAGATGTTGAATGAGCATGCCCCTAAAAACCTATGGATGAGTTCATCCAAAATTTCTGATCTTGGTCATTAATAAATAAATTAAGAACTATTAATATGTTATATTATTTTTTAATAATTATGATGGTAAGCTTAATTTTGATAAAGTGATAATATGTTGATTAGTGCATGATTTGTGTGTCATTAGGGTATTAGTAGAGCTAATTAATATATTTTATCTATAATTAGTCATTATCATGACAAAGTTTTATTAGTGTATATTTATTAGTGTATAATTAGTTGTTATTTTTTTTAAAAAATATATAATTATCAACTATTATCGTTCCTTCCGCTCTTATCCATTCAATCAAAACTAATAGTTTATCATATTCATCTAAACAAACAGACAACATGGATCATCTTATCGTGAAATAGATAGATTATCATATCTATATAACTTTGTCCTCCGACCAAACACATACTTATTTTGTGTTTTCTTATTAAAACGAGAACCTGTTAAAGCCCCAGCCAAAACACCGTGCTCTCTATAGGCGTACATGAACACCCTTTTTAGTCCTACGAGGGCCTAGATAAAAAAAAGTAGTATATAAATATTGTACTAATGTGTTTGTAGGATGCTCCTGGCCGGGAGGAGCTGATATATATAGAAATATAAGCATGACCGAAGAAGCTTTTACCCTCCGAACATGTTTTTTATCACAAGAAAAGCTAAGAACCGAAGAAGCAAGGGAAATCAAAGACGCAAATAACGAAGGCTCATCCCACCTCCGTGCACGTATCTTTATGCGCGTGCAGGCACTTGGCAGAGGCACATTGCTGGCTTATCCTACGGCGGCCAAGTCCTCCTAGTTACAAGCCGGCAACAAAGAGCGAAGAGAACCAGATGACAAGGTCCTCGCTGAGCTGCTGCTCGACCATACCCACGGCAGGTCCGCCGATGTGCAGGCGGCAGAGCGGGCACGTCCGGCGGCAGCGCGCCAGCCAGCGGTCGACGCAGTCCCGGTGGAAGGCGTGTCCGCAGGGCAGCCTCCGGATGTCGTCCCCGTCGCGGCACGCCGATATGCACACGCAGCAGTACCCCGCCGCCGACGACGCCGAGTGGTCGTGCCCGCCGCAACGTCGCCAGCGCTCGCCCTGCTGATCTGCTCCCACCGCCTTTGTCGTCGTCCCAACCGCCATGCCGCCGCCGCCCTCCGTGCCGGCGAGAGCCGAGGAGAGCAGCGCCACAACCTGGCTCACCGTCACGGCCAGCATCGCTTACTAGCTAGCTACACAGTACAGCAGCAGCGCAGGATTAGTGAGGCTATTTGCTTGCTTTGGCTCGCAGTGAGACGAGTGAGTGACTAGTGGGGGAGTGAGATCGAGAGTGGACCAGGATCTGAGACGGGATCGCGATGGCTTATAAAGATGATGATGATAGCAGCGTAGTATATCATCTGGAATGATGATTTGTTTGGGCGAGTAGAAACGAAAAGGGGACCAGAAGGTGCACCTAATGCTCCAGTGGTGGCTAACCTCCCTCTCCCTATATTATGTCACATAAAATAAAAATAATCTTCCTTGGACACAAAGCGTCTGCGATGCGACTGTAAGGTGGCGCTGTCGTATCTGTGATCCCACACGAGTTGTCAGTTTCCAGGAAAGACTGAAAGACCCATACACAAACGGGTACTATAGTACGGGTATCTGAAATTCTGAGCGTCCAAACTTTTACTGCGCTGAAGGGTTTGAGGATTGGCGTATACAAAAACATGGGGTTCAAAATTGCGTTGCCAATCCGAATGGGCGACGAAATCCGTTGACGCTTTGTTTGTACTATACGTGGAAAGGCGCCTTCTTCTTTTCCGCGCTTGGAAGCATCGTTAACGACCACCAATATACAAACTATGGGCAGCTGAGTTCTCAAGTGAATCTGAAAATAAAGTCAAGCGGATGTATGTGCCATGGACTCTCCGAATAGTGACGGAGGCTGTAGGCTGTTGCTTCATCAGCACATAAGCTAGCAGGATGGGCCTTTCCCATGGCTACGCAACTTCAGTGACCTGCAAGGAAGGACCGACGATGAATCAGTGAGAGCGCCACTGCGTGATTAGGTTAGGTACACTGACCGACCGACCGGCCGGCCGGACGCCGGAGCTAGCGATCCTCACCACTGTTTAGTCGTACTAGTGCACAACATTCTGGTGGTGGAGGTGGAGCCGTCGCCGACTCGCCGGTCATAGCCTCATAGAGCTTAAGGGCATAGTCACCTATTTATAAGTTAAAAAGTGAAATAAGTGACTTATTTTGTCAAACACCACCAACTTATAAGTCATCCCTGCTTATAAGTTTTAAGTTGGTTCACCCACCATGTCACCCATCCCCACACCTTTAATGAGCTTATAAGTCATCTACAACCAAACAGGCATGATTTATAAGTCACTGGTTTTCAGTCACCTGACTTAATAAGTCACCTGACTTATGGAAACCAAACAGGCCCTAAGACCTGCCCGTGCCGTGTCAACGTCGCGGATCCATGTCTCCCATCCATGAATCGGATTCCCATCTTGATTGCCGGGTCCGTGAGGTACGGAGGCTGCATGTAGTCATCGTGTTCTTCCCTTCAGCAGTACTTTTAGCGAACGGATATTGTTTTTCTCTTACAATATTTTAGAATAAGCACCAGCATAAATAAAATTTCAGCGAAATGAACAGGGCCACATGCAGATAAGATACTCCTATACACTAGTTCCCCAGTCCTAATATAAATGCACGTATCATATATATTGTCGAAAAATCAACTAAATATAAGTTTAACTAGATTTATGGGAAACAATATCAATGTCCATATCTTTATAAATAGATTTAGTATCAAAATATATAGCATGACTAATTTAATGATGCTTTTATTTAGTATTACATAAACATTAGTATGCTTTATATATATTTGATCAAAACTTTAGATTGATTCGCTTGTCGAAATATGAGATTTGTACAGACCCTTTCCGTCCAAAAATAAGTGCATATCTCGCTTCCTGAGGAATCAAATGTTTTAAAGTTTGATAGGTATATACTCCCTCGGTCCCTGAATAAATAGATTTCTCATATAAGAATTTGTCCATGAATAAGTCGATTTCTAGAGGGGTGATGGTCCACCGGCCCGTTTTATGGTCCTTGTAGTTCCCATATTTACCGCATCCCCCTCCTAGCTGTCTCTTTCGCACCCCTCCCATCTCACATTGACGGCACCTCCCTCCAGTCTCCCTTTTTCCCACCACCGCCGTCCCTAATTCCCCAATCCACAAGTATAAAAAAAAAGTACCCATATTTATGTTGTGTAATAAATATCATTAAATTTATACAAATACGCCCTCCAGTATTGGTATTCTACATACTTGGTCAAACTTAAAAAAAACTCCTCAAGCAACAAAATTTATACTTATTTTGGGACGAATAGAGCATTTTAGTAGTAGCAGCGGGATGCTGCCACAGATACTCCTATATGTTTATAAAACAATTCGCTTAATCGCTTATGTCAAAAGTCAAACTTTCTAATATTTTATCAATAAGTTAGCTAACAACTTTTAACTATTAAAATTTAAACTTAATACCAATTATAAGTTTATAATCATAAATAATATAACATATAAAATAAATAAATGGTCAAAGTGTAAGACCGTTTATATTATTATAAACTGACCCGGAAAGAGTGGTAGCAGCAGGAGGCTGCCACAACCGTCATCCACATGACCTCCCATCTTTCTCTTGTCAAATTGCATAGAGACAATTATCTCTGAGCCACTGTAAAAGATGTAACTTCCTCCTGCCACCGAAAAAGTTCATCTTCCCTCTCGACCATCGCTTTGATTTTTTCAACCCGTCCAGGCCACTACCGTCAACTTTTCTGGTAACAGTAGCTAACAGGAGATTGAAATGTCCCTTTTGCCCCTCTTACAGGTGGACCCCATGTGTCAACTTTTCTTCTTCATCTTATCTTCTTCGAGCAAGCGAAGGAGGCGACGGATGAGTGCGGCCGCGTCCGGAGCCGCTCCATGTGCCGGACAACGCACTCGCAGTCCCCATTCCGCACGCACTGGCGGTCCACGTCCCACGCGCCTGCAGCAACCGGTGCCGAAGCCGGAGTCCGCCGACGAGCTGGTGCCAAAGCTAGAGTCCGCCGACGAGGCGCCGAAGCAAAGCGCACCATCACCTTCTCCTTCTCCCGCGCCTGCGAAGGGGAGGGTTGGCGCGGCGGGCCACTGCAGCAGGAGGAGGTCGGCGCATGAGCGCCGTGCACGGCCTGCTCCTCTTCGGCTGCATTGGGCTCGGCAACCGCAGCTACAGTGTCATGCACGGCCTCGCTGGGGGGCTCAACGCCGCCATCGCGCAGACCTCCGCTCGGCTCGGCGGCGGCGTCCTTGTGCTACTGCTGCTCTGGGCCGTACAGCGGCAGGGACGCCACGTCGACCCACGCTCCACCCCGTGCGAGGTTCCAGAGCACCCCGGCTGCCGGGGCCTGGGTCGTCGGGGTGTCACTGGCGCAGGCGGCCAGGAGCGCTACCACTCTGCCGCGCACGGCCACGTCCGCGGACGTGTCCCGAGATGTCACCCTCAGCAGGAGCAGCGCCATGCACACGTGCTCTGCGGCCGTGCTGCCGGACTCGAGCGTGCGGCACAGATGGGGCACCATGGCACCAGCCTCCTGCGTTAGGGACAATCGCATGACGTCCGAGGATGCGAAGGTGGCCAACGCAGCCACGGCCAGGAGGAGGTCCTCGCCGCCATCGGCGGAGTTGAGCAGCGCAGCCACTGCAAAGACGGCCGCGGCCGTGGAGGGCGCCGGCAGCGCCGCCAACGAGCATGCCAGCTCCTTCCTCAGCATGGTGGCACGGGAGGCCGCAGACCCTAGGCGAAACCGGGGCCGGGAGACGAAAGCGTCCGCGGTGGAACTGGAATCGGGGGTGGGCTCAACGAGGAGACACGCAGCGGCTGCGAGGTGGGGAAGCGAGGCGATGGTGGAGGACAACAGAGAGAAGGGTACAATGGCCATTATCAAAAAAACCTGACATCGGCGTCCACAGTAACGTTATTTCTCATTAACGGAAATGACGGCAGTGGTCTACACGGGTGTAAAAAAATGAACTAATGGTCCAGACGACACATGAAGTTTTTCAATGGTAGCCAAGGAAATCGGATCTTTTATAATCGCCTACAAGGAATTCTCTCAATTGCATATGGGGTGGGGATATGGCATCGGCATGAGACGATGATTGGACAGGGTGCACTGCATGACATCCACGGCAGCGTGCACATCAGCACATGCTCCTATCCTACTAGTACAGTTTATTGACATAAGAGATTTGCATTTATAAATGGTGTTTGTAGCTATAAATGCGCTTGTGGATGCAGGTAACTATTGATATGAACGAATGGCTCAGTAGTCAGTTGCAGTTCATGCTATGCCGGCGGCCCCACCACTCAGTCTATGGTTCCTTTCTGGAACAAGATCCGTAGTATTTCTTTTGCGTTTTCTGGTACCAGCAACTCTGCAATATATAGATAAATGGTAATCCCATCTTTATCTCGTCTCTTTGCCTGACAAGGCACCTTTCCTTGTCACTTTATTTTTACTTTTACCAATATAAAATCATTGACTGGTTTCGGGAAATCCTCCCAAATCAGAGCTAACAAAAACATATTTTGGCAGGTTCAGGTAACTGCTACTCTATAAAAAAGCAAGCCAAGTGGTTGTTTTTTCCTAAAAGAACACACATATAGAACATGACAACTTTGAATCCTGAGTCCAACTATTATTTTGTATATCAGGTTCAGTATATGAATAGTTATTCCAGTAAAAGAAAATGAAGCAGAAACTATGTTTACCAATTTCATTATTCTCATTGTTGTCATTCAAGACAACCATATTAGCATTTTCAACAGAAACGGTGTAACCATCTCATTCTCTAGGGCAATATGGTGAGTACACATCAATCCTGAGTCCAACTATTATTTTGTATATCAGGTTCAGTATATGAATAGTTATTCCAATAAAAGAAAATGAAGCAGATGTTATGTTTGCCAATTTCATTATTCTCATTGTTGTCATTCAAGACAAAACATATAAGCGTTTTCAACAGAAACGGTATAATCATCTCATTCTCTAGAGCAACATGGTGAGTACACATCAACGGGGTAGTGATGATTTACAACAAGAAGCAATAATTTGGAGGGAGCTATAGCTCTGGTTTTATTACCGTCGACTTACTACAACATATTGCTTCAATTGGCTGTTGCATAGACAAGGATTCAACCAGAAGAATCCGTAGTGCTGGACTCTTGTTCTGATTTCACTTCTTGGTCGTCGAGTAACTTTCCATCTTTTGGTACAAGAGAAGGGATCCCATCAAGTACCTGCAGTCACATCACCACACAATAAGAGTTGGTGAAAATGATAAATGAAATCGCCAGGTACAGGAGCAAATGATCACAAAGCGGGTATTGAGCTGAATAGCTAGACATCATTGCACCGACAAACAAATAAAATAAAATGTCCGAACAAAATGACATATTTTGATCCCTGCAGTTGCATAGGTTCAAGATTTTCCTTATGCAAATCATTTATCAGGTCCCCCTTTTCCCAATCAAATCAGTTGGTTTGGTCGTAATAAGCCATTAGGTGTGCACTTGTCACTTTGATCATTTCCTTCTCCCACCCACCCTATCTAGTACCTAGTCTGTTCCAACCACAACACTCACATGTAAATCCACTTATGGTAAGCTGTAAAATCTGGTTATAAAATGATTATCCGTATAAGCACTAAACTCCAATCTGAATTTGTTCTGAAACTGCCTTGAAACTAGGCAAGACCTGATCCTGTAGAGGCCTACCTACACATGCAAGGCAGCACAGGATACAGATTCCAAAACACTCATTTGTTTGAACGTTTAGGCTGCAGGAAATCTACGTCTACACTTGAAGATTTTGGCTCTATTAGAACAGTTTAACGCCTTTTTTCCCCTTCATTCAGTCAATACAACAAACAGGTCGCCGGCACACATGGGCATCACACGAGATGAGCACGGGAGCGATCGGGACTCACCGGAAAGGACACCCCGGCGGCGTCGCTGACCAGAGACCCGGTGGCCTCGCAGTACCTGCGCGGCAAGATGCGGCACACGGCTAAGCAAGCAGGAAGGAGACGAGGGCAATAGCTGGGGTCAAAGAGGACACGGAAGGCAATTAGTCTCCGATTCCCTACCTGAGAGGCTGCTTGGAGAGTGGGCAGACGAGCACGTCGGCGAGCGCCCGCGGGATGCTGCGGCCGCCGTGGGTAGATAGCAACGCCGCCGTCCGCCTCATTGCTCTCGTCGGGTAATGCCGTAATGGTGGTTAATTTGGCCCGGTAGACGGCTTAGCCCCGCCGCTCAACAACGAAGGCCGAAGGGGGGGGGGTTTCTTTCTCAACAGCGCGCGGTGCAGGGCGGGGCCACATCCGATTCCGGCCTAGTTCTCCTGCTGGTTACTCGAACTATCGCTGGAAGCCAAAATTTTCAATTGATGTCTAATGGCTGCATCTCATTTTTTTATCATGGAAAATTTTTAAAACATGTTTAGGCACTAATTAAAATGTTTTAATTGTTTTAGGATTTTTCTAGATAATTTCTAAAAGTTTCTATATATACTTTTCTGAGTTCTAAATTTTATTTATTTATTTTTTATGTCCCAATCTATATCTAAGGTTTTTCTCAGAACTTTTAGAAAGCTTAAAGATAATTTTTCATGGTTCAAAACATATTAGATGTTTATTGATTTCTTTAAAAAGAATAAAACAACCTTAAAACCCCACATGTAACCATGGCAGTGAGTTGATTTAAACAATTTTAAAAGTTGGAGATAGTTTGCTTATTTTTGAAGTTTGAGTAAAAAAACTAACTTCGATGATAATTTAAAGAAGCAGGGAGTTATGCTGTAGAATTAGGGCAAAGTTTTTATGTTGATCATTTAGCATATATAACTTTATACTTAATCACTCATACAACATATATGGTAAGAACTAGAGCTAAGTTGAGATGGCGGTTCGTCGTGCCTTCGGACATGTTTTATGTTCATTCAGAGCTTAAGAGTGGAGATAGCCCAACCAGACCATATAATCTTTAAAACTAGCCTTATTCTGGTCTCTGGCATCCCAACCCATCTCTATCTTGGGACAGCCGTAGCGGTGGGTCGGTTCAATCTGACGGATTGAGAGCCACGTGATCCAACTAGAGAGTCGACTCCCAAGCCAAAACTAGCTCCTGTGCTCGTTTTTTATTCGTGAGAGCGTAGAGTGCAGCGGTGCCGGCTTCCGACGGGTACGCCTGCGCTGTTTTTTATTCACGAGGAGTCGACTCCCAAATACAAGTTGATTCTTCTCTCTCCTCGCGATGCATCGATTTCTCCAGCGGTGATGAGTCACTTTGGCCAGTCCATGTAGGACGAGGAGTCGGCCACTGGAGAAGCCCTTACTTCATGAACATAATGGTGAAAAAGGATGAAAAATTCTAGCCCCATACTGCCCATGTTTTAATATTTATCCTGCTTGTTACTATATTTTTGGGTCTAACATGAAAATAGGACTAGAAATGAGAGAGCTCTTTCCCAATTCGTATTTGTGGAATTCCATTTTTAAACAGGAATTACCCCTTTTTTGGTTACCCAAAAAAGCTCAATAAATTACTCCTATGTTCTTGCCGAATGTCGAGTCACTGGTAGCTTTTGTTTGATTTATTTCCTATGTGATCTATTCTGTTAGAGCAACTCCAGCAGAATCCACGACTTAAGCTCTCATCCTACTTTTGAGGGTTCAGAGCCAAAAATTGTACTCCAGCAGGGCCTGTAGCTATTAGAGCCCTCAAATTAAAGATGGCTGTCGGAGACTAATACCAGGGTACCCGAAGAGGAGGAGCTAATAACCATCAACGTTGATTCATCCGAGCGGTCAAGAGCGCGACTACACCTCTTGCTGGGCTCCGCCTCGCCCGACCTCTGACGGTTGGGCTCCGCCTCGTCCGACCCCCGAGGGTTGGCTTCGCCTCGCCCAACGTATGAGGGCTGGCTTTGCCTCGTCCAACCCCCGAGGGTTGGCTTCGCCTCGCCCAACGTCTAAGGGCTGGCTCCGCCTCGGCTGACCCCCGAGGATAGGCTTTGCCTCGCCCGACGTCTGACGGCTAGCTCCGCCTCGGCTGACCCCGAGGATAGGCTTCGCCTCGTACGACCCCCGAGGGTTGGCTTCGCCTCGCCCGACGTCTGAGGGCTGGCCCCGCCTCGGCTGACCCCCGAGGATAGGCTCGCCTCGTTCGACCCCCGGGGGTTGGACCCGCCTCGGCTGACCCCCTGAAGGTTGGCTCCGCCTCGTTTGACCTCTGAGGGTTAGCTCTGCCTCGTCCGACCCTCGAGGGTTGGCTCCGCCTCATCCGACTGCCGAGGGTTAGCTCTGCCTCGGCCCGACCCCCTAGGAGGGACTCCGCCTCGCCCAACGTCTGAGGGCTGGCTCCGTCTCGCCCGATGTCTAAGGGCTGGCTCCGCCTCGCCCCATCCCTCGGGCAAGGCTCCCAATGGAAGCCCACGCCGTTGCCAACCACTACAGGTTAGAAAATACAAACCAAAGTCAAACTTCTGGCATCGTGCAGGGAGCGGTCACGTCTCAACACGACCCGTCCCTGCAACAATGTCATTCCTGGGAGACTCACATCGCCCATCATGTCAACAGGACGACACTGTGCTGCCAACTTCCTGCCTGACCACCGTCCAACGTCAGTCAACTAACATCAGTTGACTGGCACTGTACCGCCAGCCTCCTAGATGGCCTTTGTCAGGGGACCCTTTTGACCATTCCGTCCGCTCGGATGGGATGGAAGACAAGAATGGCGCACGATGCCCGCATGTATGCTGCAGCGGCCAATAGGACCCCGGTGCGACGCGCTGCCACCACAATCTATAGGGTCATGGGACCCATGCGAAGAGGAGGACGGCACACCCCTAGGAGCCTTATTTCTCTTCTTTTTCCCTCTTCCCCTTTGGCGGTAACCCCTGCTTTCCCTTGGCCTATAAAAGGGAAAGCAGGGCATCCCACTAAGGGGCATCGCACATCGATCATCGGTTCACCACACCGTAAGAGGTCAATCGACCGATAGATCAAGCAACAGAAGCATCGAGCAATCAAACCATAGAGACTTGGTAGCTCCTTCCTCTCTCACCAGTTTGTAACCCCCTAATACAAACTCAGTGCTGGTAACACAAGCAGCCCAAAACTGGACGTAGGGACATTTGGCCCGAACTAGTATAATCCTTGTGTCCTCTTAGCACACCATCCGAGCCAGACGCGCAATAATACAAATTTACTCGTTGGTGTTTACTCAAAACACCGATAGTTGGCGCGCCAGGTAGGGGCCTTTTTGCGTGTTTCAACATCAACACCAGGCCTCGGATGGCTAGTCATGACATCAGCCGGGTCCCAGGCGCGCACGTGTGCTTCGGAGACCTAGACTTCATCATCACGACGGAGGGAGAACTGGAGCGGGCACTTGTCGTCATTCAGCCTCTCCACTCCACCGGCCTCGACACGATCACCGAGGCGCTTGAGGAGCTATTGCTGCACGCACCGGAGGCCCGCGCCCCTGGGAGCGGCTAGCTCCTTGACTTTGACTGCGGGAGGTTGGAGCGTCAGCTCGGCGTCTTCCTGGGACCCCAACCGTCCCGGGAGGACCTACGCCACCTCACCTTCTCGTTCGCCAATGTCATGGCACAGCTCACTGGGGTAGAGCCCCTCTCCCCAAAATACCTCATTCGGAGCGCTCCGACAGTGCTCCCGTTCGGTCTCTGCAACGCCGCAGAGACCGTTGGCCGCCTTGTGGCGCAACGCATGATTCCGTCCCCCACAAAGGACAAGTTCGTGGGGGTGATCGAACAAGTCACGGAGTCTTTCCATGACCTCCTTGCAGAGGAGCCAGAGTCACCCTCTGGCTTTGACTCCAGTAGGGGGAGTCATCATCCCTCTTGTGAATGCTTAATGAGAGGTACTCCTGAGGGACACGTCAAAAGCATCCACGAAGAGGAGGCTACCCTGACGAACAACCTCGACGGCAAAGTTGAGGGAGATGCAGGAGCCCCACCCCGCCTGCGGGTGGAGAAGCTAAAGGCTCAGCACCTAGAGCTTGAGGAAGCACAACTCTAGCTCGAGCAGGAACATGCGGAGCTCGATCACAAGATCGAGCGCCATGAAGACGGGGGGCGTGCATGCGCCATGGCCCGTGATGTGAACCAGAGGATCGTTGAGGACGATCAAGCGCTACCGCATGGGGCTTCAGGAGCCTACGACGCCCAGAGATCGATGAGCCCACCATGAGATTCACACGCTGCTTGAGCGTGTGGCTGTGCAGTAGGCCGAGAGCTCACTGTCTCGATGATGGGAGCCCGATGCCAGCCAACGCATGCCCTCAGTGCTACCCGACAGGGACGCATCAGTCCACCAGGCACATTCACGGCGGCAGGCCATGCATCACGGTTCTGGTGCAGGAGCATCTCGACCGCAATCATGACACGTGTGACACCCTCGACGCCCGCTGGCGTATCCGCAGCGATACGGGGGAGGGGGCCAGCCGCAGTTACCACCCTCGACGGGGCGAATGCTACAATCGCGAGAAGGACCTGAGCCATAGCCCTGAACCAACGGGGCCCTAGACCTTCGGTTGGTATATCCTCAAGGCGGCGCCCCGCCCCGATACCGCCCGCCGACTAACATCCCAAAATACTCTAGGGAAACGAACCCCGGCTTGTGGCTCAAGGACTATCGGCTCGCCTGTCGGGCTAGCGGTGAGCGGTCAGTGATGACTTCATCATCCGCAATCTTCCCTGTTCTTGGCCGACTCGGCGCGAACATGGCTGGAGCACCTTCCGTCCAACTGCGTTCAGAGTTGGGCGAACCTGAAACAAATCTTCGTGGGGAACTTCCAGGGCACTTATGCGTGCCCTGGGAACCCTAGGACTTGAAGAACTTTCGATAGAAGTTAGGAGAGACTCTCCGCGAGTACATGAGACGCTTCTCCCGGCAGTGAAACGAGCTCCCCAATGTCGCCGATGCCGATCGTCATCGGAGCCTTCCTATCAGGGACCACCTGCGAGTCCCTCGTCCATATGTTGGGACGTAAGGGCCCACGGACTACCAAGGAACTCCTCGACATCGCGACAAGCAACGCTTCCGGCAAGGAGGCAGTAGGAGCGATTTTCAATCGCTCTAGAGGCAAGGCGAAGTGGGACAAGGATGCCAACGAAGGCCCCTCCGACCATTCGAATAAGAAGAAGAACCGGAATGGGCGTGGGGG